ATAAATAGAGTAGGCATAAATGGATAACTCATTTCTAATTTTTAGCATTTCCATACTGAACCTAGAACACATTATAATTCCCCACATTACTTTCCAGAATCTATCCCTTTCCTTTCTACTTCCCCAGCTAACACCATATCTTACAACATCATTACTTCAGAATCATACCCTCTCTAGCACAACCTTCACATGTTGCCAAAGTAATTATCCTAAAGCAGAAGTCTAATATAACTCACCTGCTCAGACATCTTTAATGATGGCTCCAAACTTCCCACCTCCACCCCAATAAAGTACTAACTTCTCAAACCTGGCAACCAAAGCCCTACTAGCTTTCTGGTCTTTCTAGCCAAACTGGAGGTGCTTACTTCTCTCTATTCTTATCCTCTCTTTTCAATTACTCATTGTGAGTATAGTGGAAAAGCACGTAAGTATCTGAAGTAAGGGCTCTTCTATTTATTTGGAGGTCTCAAATGATTCAATTAATCTCTCTGGGGGCCTCCCCTTGAGGGAGAGAGGGGGAACGTTTCGACGAAAAAAAATTTTTGCACCATTGTCATGTCGACATTCCCCTCCTCTTCCTTTATAATAAATAAGCGTAACACTAACAACAATAATAAAAACAACTTATCAACAATTATCTGCCTCATTTTGTATGCTAGGCCATTGCACCTAGGTTGTATAGTGGATAGAGAGCAAATCTGGCTTCAGTTATTTACTAGCTGTGTGACCCTGGGCAAGTCAGTTCACCTTGCTGGCCAGAGTTCCTCATCCGTAAAATGAGCTGGAGAAGGAAATGGCAAACCACTTCAGTAACTCTGATAAAACCATAAATGGAGCCACGAAAAGTTAGACATGACTGAACAAAAGACCACTAAACAGGAAGGAAACATCTCACCAATAGTACCATCTCAACTACTCACTGTGTGACCCTGGCTGAGTCACACTGTCATTGGGCCAGTTTTTCGTTTGTAAATGGGGCAGGAGAGGTAAGGGTTGGATTATCCTTGGCCTTCCAGTTCTCAATGTATGATCTTCGGACATGACAACTGATCACTGTGTTTTAATACTGTTTATACTGCCATAGTCATCATAAATTGATTTGCTTTTGTTAATTTCATTACTAGATTATACAGATCTTCCCATGTGTATCTGAACTCTTCGTATTCACTGTTCTTTATACTGTAATAAAATCCTGCATTCAGATACAATTTGTTCAGCCATTCCCTAATTGATGGCTCATACTATGTTTCCAGTTCTAGGGCCTTTCCCTCAACTGCAAAATAGTCTCTTCCAAATCTAAAGCTCCTGTGCCTTTATTTACATGTCATCCCTATCTGAAATGAACTCTGAGAGATCTCCACCTGTTAAAATCCTTTCATTCACACAAAGAATGTACTTGCAGGGAGCAACTAGGTGGCTTAGTCAATAGAGCTCTGGCTTTGGAGTCAGGAGGACCCGAGTTCAAATCTGGCCTCAGAGACTTGACATTTATTAGCTGTGTGACCCTGGGCAACTCCCTTAACCCCAACTGCCTCCCCAAAAAGGGGAAGTTAAAAAAAAAAAAGGAATTGCAAATGTCCATTTCCTCTTGACCAAGGAGTATTAATCTAAGGAGGTCAAAGATAAAAACTGTAATTACCACAATATTAAGAGCATTTTTTTGTTGTAGCAAAGAAATGGAAAGAAAGCAGATGCCCATCAACCAGGAAATGGTTAAATAAACTGCTGTACATGAATGGACAATTACTGAGATGACAGAAACAATGAATATGAAGAACACAGAAGTAGGGGAAGACTATATAAACTGATGCAAAGTGAAGTAAAAGTAGAAACAATTAAATAAAAAAGTTAACAGCAAAAACCCCCCAAAATTAAATGCCTGGCTCTCAAAGAAATGAGAATGTGCTTCCCTTCCTTCTTTGAAAAAGTAGAGGGTTATGGGTGTGGAATACCTCATATACGCTGACCTTGGTTTATGTGTCCTTTAACTTCTTTGTTGTAAGGCGGACATTTAGGGAAAGGTATGAGATGTAAAAAAGGATTATTATTAAAATCCTTCCATTCAAGGCTCAGTTCTTGTGCACCTTCCCACAAAACCTTCCCTGTTCCACTTCTGCTAGAAGTGATCTTTCTTTCCCTTCAATCAATCTCTCATAGCACTGTCATTCCATTTCTGTCATCTGCAGAGGATTTTAAGTGCTTTGAGGGGACTATACATTTCTTTTGATAAAACTTTAATTGAATTTTGTTGACACCTTCCTCTTAACCCTAATGTTCTTCATATAGCTCATGCCCTCAACCCAAAAATTCTTTCTCTTTCATTCTATTTATTCAAAATCTAACCTCCCTGGGGAAATCCTTGCTGACAATCACACTTCACAGCAATCTCCCTTGAAGCCCTATGGCACTTCCAGGGGAAACTGGAAATCTCCACTCTTTCCCCTAGTTTTGTCCTGTTTTCAAGCTGTTATTTTCATGAGGACGTATTTATCAGTATAGGGAACTCTTGATATGGAGACTCCAGACATCTAAAGAAGACTGGTCTGTAACAAAACTATAGGGAATTGCAGAGCACACTTCATTCAACAAGCATTTCATAAGTGCCTATTTTACGTGCAAAGCTGAAGAAACACAGACAAAAGAACACAGTCCTTGCCCTGAAGGAACTCACATTATACTGGGTAAAAATGTGCAGTGCAGATAAATCAATACCAAAAAATATGAAAAAAAATTCGAGGGAGTTCCCAAAAGGTCTTTTGTAGGAAGTGACACTTGAAGCTGAGCCTTGAAGCAAACTAGTGATTCCATGAGGCAGAGGTGAGGGGCAGGTACATAACAAGCCTAGGGAGACAGTTTGCGCAAAGCCACAAACTAAGAGATGGAATATGTATATAGGAAGAAGCAGGCCAGTTTGGCTGAACCATAGAGTGTGAGGTATGATGTAACATTACTCTGGAAAGACAGATTACAGCAAGATTATGAAGGTCTTTAAGTGCCTGACAAATCTGTATTTTATCCTAGAAAAAAAAAGGGAAGCTACTAAATCTTCTTGATCAGGGACTATGCAGACGTATGCTTTTGGTTTTTACCAAATTTAACACTTGTGTCAAGGATGGATTGGAGAAGGGAGAGACCGGATAGATAGAAATTATTGCTTCAGGGGACAATTTACAAGGGCTTGAATCTGGGTGGCACATGTATGAATAAAGAGTATAGATGCAAGAGATGCTATGTAAGTAGAACTGACAAAATTGATGTGGGGGGGGAATTGAGGGAGAAGGAAGAGTGGAGGATGACTAAGAGGTTGTAAAATTAGGTGACTGGAAAGATGGTGGATGGTGATATCCTCGACAGAAAGATGGTTAGGATGAGGCATGGGTTTGGAGGAAGATAATAAAGTTGAATGACTTGCTCATGGGCAAGTGTCTGAAATAGAACTTGAACCCAGGTCTTCCTGACTACAAGGCCAGTCCTCTCTCTACTATCCTAAATAACACCTGTCATTTGAAGAAAAGTCTCAGAAAATCTGAATATTCTGTTAAGTTCCAGAATATTCAAATGCAAATAGTATTTCTGATATGGGTCTAAAATCCAAGATATCTAGGCAACTCTTACGAACATAAGACAAATGGATATGAAAAACAGTTCTCAAATAAGAATTGCAAACTATTAACCATATAAAGATTGTTCCCAATCATTAGTAAGAGAAACGCAACCCTTAAGTTTCATCTCACACACAGAAAACTGTCAAAGATGACAATGAACAGAGACAGTCAATGCTGGATGGGCTGTAGAAATGCAGGGAAATTAACAGAGCTGACAGAGTTGTAAATATGTCCAAACCATTCTGGAAAGCAATTTGAAATTAACCTAAAAAAAGATGACTAATTTGTTTATCAATTGGGGAATGGTTAAATAAACTGCAATGTGATCACGACGAATATAATTGTGGCATAAGAAACAATGAATATGAAAAATTTAGAAAAGCACAGCAAGAACTTAAGAGTGAAACTAGATGGCTTAAGATCCCTTCTAGCTCTACATGTATGATCCTCTTTAATAATAATGAGAATCAGGAAAACAATATATACAATGACAACAATATAAATGGAAAGAACAAAAAGCTGAATCTGCTGGGTAATAAGCTTGGCCCTAAAAAAAGATGAGATTTACTTCCCTCTCCCTTCTTGGTAAAGGTTGGGGAGATTAGGGGTTACATGTTGCACATTTCAACTCAGTTGTTGGTTAATTTTGCTGAACTGCTTCCCTAATCACCCCCATTATTCTTTGTTTCAAGGACTGGCTGGTAGGGAAGAAGGATATATTTGGAAACAAAGGTGATGTAAAAACAAAAGACACCAAAAGAATTTTTAAACGTGCAAATAAATACAAAACCCCATTTCAAAATCAAGCAATTTCTGGATTACCTTAACTTCTCTCTACCAATAACTGGCAACACTTATAGGACACCATATATTAATTTTGTACTACCTGTGTGGCTTCTTGTATGTACAGTTTAACTCTTGTATTGTTAGTTACTTTTTGGAGTATAGCTTGTCTCTTCAAATAAATTAAGTTCTAAGAGAGGTTATGAGTTTTTTGTCTTTGCATCTCCCACAGTGGCTAACAGTGCCATGAAAAAACTAGATGTTCAATATATACAACCATCAATTGATGTTTATAAACATTTAGGACAATGTCTAAAGCCTTATCTTACACTAGTGACTCGAACACAAATCACTGTTGCAAATGCTTTGTGGCTTAAATTAATGTTGTAAAATTTTTTAAAAGCTATGCTAACACTTGACACAAGATTGTCAATCTTATTGAATAAACTGAGAGAGAACAAAATATTGTATTTCTGTCCTTACTAGCTAATACAAGTTAAAATGTGTTGAGTGTGTAGGAGAGATCACTTCTAGCTATAGACAGGAACAGGGGAGGGGGAGGGTGGGTAGAGAAAACAAGAAAGACTTCACGGAAGGAGTTGACAACCAGACCTGAGTCTTGAAGGAAGAGAAGGATTTCAGCAGACGGAGATGTGGAGGGAGTCTGTTCCAGGCATGGGGTATGGCCTGTGCAAATGAAGAGGTGGAAAAGGGCAAGATGAGACCATGAAATGGCTATTAGTCCAGTTTGGCTGGAACATAGAGTACATGAAGGATAATAGTGGGAAATAAGGCTAGAAACTAAGCTTGGGGCCATTTTGTGGAGCATTGTGAAACTAGCATAAAAAGTTTACATTTTATTCTAAAGGCAACAAGGAGCCACTGAACAGATCTGAGTAAGGGAGTATAATGATCAGGCAGACCACATTACAAACATTACTTTGGTAAGGATCTAAGGTTAAGGATTGAAAAGGGTGGGGAGACCAGTAAGGCTTTTACAACAGACCAGGCAAGAGGACTGCTCAGTTCTGAGGGTCACATTTAACGACAATGATTAAGTTATAGAACATCCAAAAAAAGGTAACCTGGATGGTGAAGGGCCTCAAGAATATGTTACATAAGGACTACTAGTTGAAGGAACTGGGGATGTTTTAACCAGGAGATGAGAAGTTTCAGGGGGAAATATGATAGCTGTCTTCAAGTATGTGAAGAGCTATAATGTTGAAGAGGGATTAGACTTATTTCTGCTTGGACCTAGAGAATAGAAACTCTAAGCAGTTTCTGTTTCCTGTAAAGAAAAGCATCCCAACAATTAGTAATATTCCAAAGTGTAACTAGATGGCCTTGGAATAACAGGTTCTCTTTCACTGGATGTCTTTAAACCCTCAATTGTTAGTGTTCCCTTCCACTAAAATCATTTTGTGTAGGTTTAACTGTTTACAGTTCTTTCTCCAAATTAAAATGAAAGCTCCTGGTGGGCAGGAGAACAGATCTGTTGGTCCCCAGTACTTTACATTAAGTGCTTGTTGAATGAAATAAAAAAGGTGGGATGAGCATACTGGTCAGGTATATTGTGGAGGAGGATCCTTGTTAAAGGTAAGGATAGGACCAGAAAGGCCTCTGAGATCTTTTCCAACTCAGGGTCTGTGAAAAGAGAGCACCTGGTCCCCAGCTGAAAATTCGTTCCTCCTCTTTTCCTTTGCCTGAACCTCTCTTCTGCACTTCTCATTCTCCTTGTATTATGGTGACCTGTGTACATCCTCTCTTCTACCCCCATGAGATTACAAGCTACTTGAGAGCAGGATCTGGATTATATTTCTGTATTCCTAGCAACAACTAGCCCTTGCACATAATATATCTTTAGTAAATGTCTAATGGAATTGATAGGTGCAAAAATAGGTTCTTGCATTAAATAATCATTTAGCTGTCCCCTCTTTTTTTTAATAATCAAGAACACAACATAGCATTCAAGTCAATTCAGAGAGTTAACCAATTGAGAAAAAAACAAAACAAAAAAACAAAACAAAAAACACCCAAACAAACCAAGCTACAGCAACACAGTACCAACAAAGGATCAGAAGGCATATAATTCTGCTTATCCAGGAAACAAAACAGTTTCCAGTTTTCTCAGTACCTGCAATTCACACGTATATGTGTTCTCCCAGATCATATAGAGTTGAAGGGATTCTGGAATTCTGTACTGGGTGAATAGGGACTCCTCTCCCTCTAAACCAATTAGAAGCTCCCAGGAAGAGCTGAAAACTTGTTTAATAGTCCTCCCAATAACATTCTGGACAAATCATGCTGCTAAGGGGAGAGGGGTAGGGGTGTGTGTGTGTGTGTGTGTGTGTGTGTGTGTGTGTGTGTGTGTGTGTGTGTGTGTGTGTGTGTGTGTGTGTGTGTGTGTGTCTGCAATTTAAACAAATTAAACAGGTTATCAATCTGCCACCTTCACTTTGTGGTTGGTGAACACCTCAAAGATCCAATAACCTTAATTCAGAGAGAAGAACTAAGATCTCAAAAGGTTAGGTGATCTTTTAGGTTATAAGAGCTGGCCATAGGACCCACTTCTTCTGACTCCTAGGTCAGCACTCTCTGGGTTTTCCTGAAGTGAAGAGGTAATGATTATATCAATACATTTCAAATATACCCTCTGATAGAATTCATCAGATATTTAAAAAACAAACAAAAAGAAACTATGCACTCAATTATTCAATTATACACTTAAGAACCCATGGGTTCTAATGCCACTGTGACTCCTCATAAAATATATTAGCATAACAGATTTAGATCCAAAAGGGTCCACTGAGTCCATCTACTCCCAACAGCCCCATTTTACAAGAGGAGACTGAAGCTGAGAGGTCACATGGCTTACCTAAGATAATACACAAGTGCTGTGTGACATGGGGGAATTTGAACTCAGGTCTCAGAGCCAACTTCCAATCTATTTCAATTGAGTTGTTTGATTCCAGCCTTATCTAAATCCATTTCCCCTCCAGAAATGCCTCCCCCTTGCTACCAGAGTGAAAGTTCCTTCAGTTTAACATTTGGTTCAATTTAAGTTACGCATTTAACTGGCATTTCAGACTTATACCTAAATAAAATGTATCATAAAATTAGAGCTTACGAAATCAAATTTAGAGGTCCTCTAACTGGAGAAAAGGGAGCCCAGAGAGGCCAAGTGACTTGTCCAAGGCCAAACAGGTAGCAGAGCCAATATTCTAATAATCCAGGTCTGACTCCAAATTTAAAGCTCTTTCCAGTGTATCACTGGCTCCCAAATTTAAAAACAAACAAAAAAAAGGAATCTAAAAAACTTTATTTACAGCACTGGATATATATCCTAAATATTAGGGGATAGTCAACTTTTCTCGTCAACATTTTAACCAACTGTACAATTCAATCTGATGAAGTAACTCATAATTTATTTTAAACATTCAATTAAAGATCTGTTTAGTTTTATATTTATCTAAATTTTGAAATTTTGAAGTTACAAAATTTTATTTTTCAGTTTTCATTTTCTTAGGAAGTGAAATTGATCCTCTTTCAATACTATCCCTCTAAAGAGTGGCTCAGATGGATAAGAATTTAAGGGGCCTCAGTCCTTTAATTTACTTTGCTTCTGACTTGTTGAACCAATTTCTACCAAGGTCTAAAATACCAGTCCTAGGCTAAAGCCTTCGAGAAGGCAAGCATTAATTCTAGCAACTGGCTTGGATATCAAATAACCTTACTACTATCTAGGAAACCCTCTTTAGATGGTAAGAAATCTGTATCTTGTAGCTGACTGAATTTTCCTCCACAAGGGATTTTTGGACAGATGTTATAGGAACTAAAACTCCTGGCATATTTGAACACCAGCGTTCACATAGCTTAGTGATACATAGCTCAGCTAAGTGAAAAGGAAAGCACAATAAGGGGTACAACAAAATAGAATGTTGAAGTGATTAGATGACAATATTTTTTAACAGATCTATAATTTGTAGCCTCCTCTCCATTTGTCACATTTATTTTTCCCTACTGCTTTTCATTCAGAACTCAAATTCTTTGCTGTTGATGTGAGAGGTCAGATTTAATCAGCTTTCAATAAATATGAAGTCAATGGTAGTAGTTTTTTCCTTTAAGAAAAGATTTGACCTCAGGTACTTTCTTTGGAAAATGAAAAGTCAGGGGCAGGTAGGTGGTACAGTGGATAGAGCACCAGCCCTGAAGTCAGGAGCACCTGAGTTCAAATCCAACCTCAGACATATGATACTAGCTGTGTACCCTGGGCAAGTCACTTAACCCTGATTTCCTCCCCCCACCCCCCAAATGAAAAATAATTTCTTTAAACATATTCTATACTCTCAGAGTGTGCATCTGTCACACACACACCCCCAGAGGCAAAGGATGTGGGTTTAGCTATGTAATATCAGACCAAGTCACTGAGCTTGGAGTATTTGCTTTCATCAGTATAATTAAGGACTGGATTATATCAGGGATGCTTAACTTGGGCTAGTAAATTAAAAAAAAAATTTCAATAATTAGGTTTCTTTTGTAATCCTATACATTTTATGCTTGTAAAAAACATTTTTCTGAAGCGTGCTAAGATTTCACCTGACTGCCAGAAGGATCCACAACACAAAAAAGGTTAAGAATCCTTGAACTAGATGATCTCTTAATATCCCTTTAGAGCTCAAACACAAAGCATTTCAACATCCAGTTTGACAGATGGTAAATACACAGCTTTCTCTCAAATAAGGGTATAGAGATTATATCACAATTACGGGATTTCCAGTTCTCACTAAGCCAGTGGTTTAATATTTAAAACAGAAAAATTGAGTACTGGAGAATCCCAATATGAAATTGAGCTCTAAATTTGATAACAGAGAAATATGTTTTCATTATCCATAGAAAAAAGCATTTTAAGAGTGTGAAAAGCAATTTGTTTACAATATCCTAAATTGAACTGTGATTAAGAACTATAGTTAAAAAAAAAAAGCCAAGCAAACAAAAAAAAAATAGCCAACCACGCTGAGAGACTAAGGAATTTTCTCAAAATACGTAATTTTCTAGGTTGTCCTTAAAAAAAGGAACCATGAATGAGGGCCTAACAATTTCTACTCATTCCTGTCTTCCATTCAAAAGATGATCATTGAGGCTATAGTTCTAAATTGCTGTACTTATAAAAAGAATTGTAGAAAAACAATGGTTCATATTTAATTAGTTGTGTGATCCTGGGCAAGTTAAACTCAGTTTTGGCCACTGTAAAATGATGGCTTTCCGGGTCTTCTAAGCTGCTAGGATTCCATGATTCTTTCTCTCCTCTTGGTAAGGGCAAGTAGATGGCAGCAGCAGGCAGGTGAGATTTGAGTTACTGTACAACTTGGGTAACTGATTCCTGAATACTGGACAGATTTCTACTTCAAATAGCATTCTGCTATATTGACAGCATTAAACCTGAGACTCCTTTACTTCTTCACCGATTAAATTTGATTATAATCTTGATTTATAAGAGATGCCAGAGAGTCATTTAGTCCAATCCTCTCATTTCACAGATGAGGATAACTGTGGTGCTGAAGGGTAAGTGACTTGTTCAAGGTCACATAGGCACTAAGTGCCAGAATGGGATTCAAGTCTAAGTTCATTTCACCACTATTATTAATGAGATTATGGACAAGGATTTTGTACATGAATACTTCTTTATCTACAGCAGGAGGTTCTTAATCTTTTTTTTTTGTGCCATGGACCCCACTGGCAGTCTGGTGAAGCCCATGAATCTATTCTTAGTTCAATGTTTTTAAATAAATGGAAAAAGGCTTGCTAAATTTCACTTAGAAGTTAGTCAAAATAAAGACAAAAAGATTTTCCCATATCTAAGTTAATAGGCCCCCTGAAATCTATCCATGCACCCCAGGTTGAGAACTCCTGATCTATACGATGGGAATAACATGACCTATCTTACTGGACTGTTATAAGTGAAGTACTTCGTAAACCTTAAAAGCATTTGAGAAATGTTAATTATTGTTTCTGGACCAAAAATGGCTTTTAGTCAATCTCAATGCAGAATATTATGCTAAAGGTTTGCAGTATTTTTAAAAAATCCTAAATCCAAACATACATCGTCCACATTTAGTACAATGGAACGTTTCAATCATTTCCTCACTCACGTTTCCACTTCAAGTTATCCCACTTCTAAGAAAACCATATTGTGAATTGGAACTTAGGACATGCCCTGCTGACCACAAACCCTTTAGCTTTTCTTCTGTAATATGCCCTCAACCACAAAAGGCAGAGGGAAGGGGGATAGTCTACCACAAAACATGTCAGTGGAAGCAAAATGCCATATATTATCATCATCTAATATTAACTACATGTCAGTATGCTTATGGATGTTACAGGGCCATCCTATGGTAATTTACACTAAATCCTAAGTTTTGCAACTGCACGAACAGTCACAGGCAGAGGGAAAACAATATTTTAAAAATGCTGATAATTACCTTTCAATTACTCAAGAAACTTAAAATTCTCAACTCTCTTGCTAGTTGATTTTCAGTCAGGCTAACCTTGCACGATTGGGCCTGTCTCAGTTACTTCTGACTCTACATTACCATCTATAAAATTCAAAGTTGGAGGTATTCTCTATTAACCCTTCTGAAGCTGAAAAAGAGAATACTGGGTTTAGGAGTCAAAACTGGGTTAGAAGACAAGTTTTGACACTTTGTATCAAGCAACTCACCTCTTCTGAAATTTTCCTCATTGGTAAAACAGGCAGGATACTCATGTCATGGGGATGCCCTGAGGTTAATTAAGTATTTAACACAGAATATTATACCTGTTTTACAAATAAGGAAGCAAGACTGAGGTTCCTAGGTGACAGCAGGTTGAGGGCAGGGATTGGAATCAGGAAGATGTGGGCTTAAATTCAGCTTCAGGCACTTACTAGTATTGCATTGTGTCCTTGGGCCAAGTCACTTAGCCTTGGTCTGCCTCAGTTTCCTAAACTGCAAGACGGGGATAACAAGGGGTCAGCTAGGTGGTGCAGTGGTTATAGCACCACCCTGGCCTCAGGAGGACCTGAGTTCAAACACTAGCTAGCTGTGTGACCCTAGGCAAGTCACTTAACCCCTATTGCCTCCAAAAGAAAAAAAAAAGATGGGGATAACAGCACTCAACTTTAAGGGTTGTTGTAAGGATCAAATGAGGTAATATTTGTAAAGTACCTGGCCCATATTAAGTGCTATAAAAATTATAGCCATTTTTAATTTGAGGTTTATATAGCTACTGTACTTCACAATGATCTATAAGGTATTATTCCCATTTTACAGAACGAGAAAGCACAGATTAGAGTTTTAGTGACTTATTTATAGTCATAAAGTGTAATATCAGATCAGAGTTGAACTTGATCTTCATGACTCCAAGTCCACTTTGTAACAGATGTCTCTCCTTAAACCTTAACTTTCGTACTGGTTTTTAGGTGCTTATGTACAATCACATGTCTTTTAAATAAGTAAGCATAACTTCAGAATTACACTATATTTAACTCTTTTCAATCATATACAACATTTTTATCTACCCCCAAATAATTTTGGTAAAAGTCAATGGAAAAAAACCCCTAAAATCAGCAAACCTATTTATATTCAAATTTCTAACAGCCCAGAAGTCCCTAATTAAATTGAAAAATACCTGTTAGTAACAAGACTATCCTGATTAAACAAGAAAAGGAGGCATTTTTTGGTAAGCACAATACTCAATTTCCATAAATTTAAACACCCAGCTTCTGCACAAGTAGGGTTACTAAAATCTCCCCAGGGCATCCTGAATTCAAGGTCTCTAGGCGCATGTCAACATGTTAAGAGATTTTAGCACAGTCCATTTGTTCAACTGTCCCTCGAATCACATACCTACACCTGGCTTCAGTTATATTAACGGTTTCTCATTGGAAAGATCTAAACCAGTTTCATATTTTAGTCTCTTATCCATAGCTTGTTCTTTTCTGGTTTTAACAATAACAAAGACTGTCTTGATTCAAAAGTTAAGATTAGGGCAATTTAAAAGAAACTACTGCTATGCAGGGTTTTTTTGGGGGGTGGGGTGGGGGGGAGAAGATAGGAAAAAGTGGTTGTGGAGGGCAACAAATTCAGTGTCAACCTTGAAACCTCAGATGATGAATTACTATTTGCAATTGTAGTCATCTTAGCCCCCTATCTAATATCCTCCAACTTTGCTAGGTAATACAGTTATACAACACTGCTACACGAAAAGCAGTAAGACACCTTTTGAAAGTAAGATTTCTTTAGGTTTCTTGAGGTAGAGGGCAAAACCACCTCATATATCACTTTTCTGCCAGAAAACTTTTTATGTGTAAAATCAAAGCTGAATCCAACCTTTTAAAAAATATTTGAAATATTTTCTTGCGCAATATTTTTAATGAGAAAAATTTCCTATATTTTTAGTTTTCATTTCCAAACCTAGTTTCAATTTAGATCAAAATCAGTGTGTACTACTATTACTACTACTACCAAAAAATAATTTGAGACATACCAATATTGAAAAAAGGCTGGAAATATAAAATGTTACAAAAAGAGGTGCTTCAATAGCACAATTTCCAGAGAATGACCCAATTTTGAACTAGTTGAAGGAAACTTAAAGAGTAAGTGAAAATGGGCAAAACTTCGCCGCCCCGTTTGAAAAGGGTCTTCTTGGGAAAAGAGCAGAGGAAATGCGAAGGAAACAAACAGCTTCTCACCGCAAAGGAGGAGGTGGGGCTGGGGGGCAGCCGCCGGGTGTGTGCGCTGTAATCTAATCACTAAGAGAACCTAAGCTCGATTCGGGCCTTCCTCCTCAAGCACTAAGTCTTTACCAGAAAAGAGGCCTCCTGCCCTCCAGCACTTCCTACTCCAAGCCCCACTTTCCAAGCCGACTGGGGAAAAACAGCCAGGTCAGGCAGCCCGCCCCCCGCCGGGGTCCCCCCAGGGGCTGGTGAGGGTCCGCCGGGGTAAAGGGCCCGGGAGGCCGAACTCCGCTCCTTCCCCCGCCCCCGCCGAAAGAGGGCGGGAGGAGAGGAGGGGAGGAGGAGGAGAAAGCGGAGCCTCGAGCCGCGGCTAGAACAATGCAGCGGTTCCACCCCCCCTCCTGGGGTAACGGTGACCCGGAGAGACCACCCCCCCCCGCGCGAGGCTGCAGGGACCCAGGGGGAGGAAAGGGGTTGGAGCAGCCCGACGGGGAGGGCGCGTGGCGGGAGGAGCTGGGAGAGGACGAGCCGGAGCGGGGAGAGGAGGTGGGGCGAGGGTGGGGGCGCGTGGAGAAAGGAGCGGGCAGCAGCGTGGAGGTAGAGGCTTCGAGACACCCCCGCCCCACCCCCCCTCACCAGAGCCTGGCCCCACCCCCCGCCCCTACTCCTCCCCTCCCCCTCCCCTCCGCGGCCGCTTCCCCCTCTCGGAGAAACTACGCCATTGCGGCCTAGTTGTGGAGCCGGCGCGCCGCCCGCGCCCCCCCCCCGCACCACCCCTCCCCCAAGTCCCCTCCACACCGCCAGCGCCGCCATCTTCCTTTCCCCCCGGACGGGTCCCAGCAGCCCCGCCGCCCCCGCCGCCGCACAGGCCCCGCCATCTTTTGGGGCCGCCATACTTGCCCTGGCGAAGAAGATGGCGGCGCCCATCACACACATAAAACATGGCTTCCCTTCAAAACAAAAACATCCCCGGGGCCGGGGGAGCCGGGGACGTGTCGCCCGGGCCGCGTCCCGTCTCCCCTCGCCTTCCTCGGCCTGGCGCCGCTCACCTGAGGCCCACATGGTGACGGAGAACTCCCCCTCCAGGGTCTTGATCTGCACCTGCTTCTGCTCCCACTTCCTGCCGCTCGGCTCGGCCCCGCCGCCGCCGCCGCCGCCTGCCCCGCCGCCGCCGCCGCTCAGGTAACTCTTCTTGCCGCTCTTCTTGCCTCCGCCACCGCCCTTCTTCATCCGGCCGCCGCCAGACGACGACGAGCCGCCGCCGCTCTTGCCGGCCGCCGCGGCCGTGACCAGCGTCTGCTCGATGTAGTCCTCCTCGCCGCCGGCCGGCGCGGGCACGGGGATGAGGATCTGGTCCTCGAAGCCGTCCTCGGCCCGCAGGCCGTCCGAGTCGTCGCCGCCCACCACCTCCTCGCGGGTCTGCACCAGGATCACCTCCTGGTGGTGGTGGACCTGGCTGGGGTCGTCGGTGACGAGCGGCTGCAGGGCGATCATGGGCGGGTGGTGGTGGTGGTGGTGGTGATGGTGGTGGTGGCCGCCGTGGCCGCCGCCCCCCCCGCCGCCGCCTCCCGCGCCGTCCTCGTCATCCTCCTCGTCGTCCTCCTCCTCGCCCACCACGGTGGTCTCGATGGTCTCCACGGGGATGGTCTCCACCTCGATCTCATGCAGCTCCACGATCTCGGCCGGCATCTCCGAGCCGTCCGTGGCGATGTAGAGGGTGTCGCCCGAGGCCATGGCTGAAGCCTCTCCTGCCGCCGCCTGCCCCGGCCGCTACAGCCGCTCTCCACCCCCTCGTCCGCGTCCTCCTCCGCTGCGGGCGGGCGAGGCGGGCAAGGCGGCCGGTCGTGGGGAAGGGAAGGGAGCGAGCGGGGGGGGGGGAATCTGGGGAAGGGGGAGGGAGGGTAAGGGGGAGGGGCGGGCAAGCAGGCGGGCGGGCTGTCGGTGTTCTCTGTCCCCCTTCTCGCTCCGCGCTCGCTCAGGCTTCTCGTCCAGGCTGGAGAGGCTGCTGCCCCCCCTCCCCTCCCACCCCACCCTTCGGGCCGGGTCTCCGGGCTTTCCCCCCCTCTTCCTCCTCTCCTCCTCCGCCTCCTCCTTCAACACAAATACCAACTCCTCAGCCCGACTGCAAATCTCGCCGCCGCCACACTCGCTCCGATATCGCCTCGCGAGACTTCCGCTCTTTCCTCTCCCTCCCTCCGCGCGTCTCTCTCACTCTCTCTCGCTCTCGCTCTCTCTCTCTTTCTCACCGGCTCCTCCCTTCCCCCCCCAACCGACCTCGCCGTTTGCTGTGACAGGCTGCCGTGATTTAGACCCCGCCTACACCCTCCCAGCTCCGCCCGGATTGGGGAAGGAGGAGGGAGATCATCCCGCCTCCTCTGCGCGTGACGTCACTACGCTGACGTCGATCCCTCCTTTTCGTAGCTCTGTCCCCTCTTCTCCTCCCAGCCCCCCAACGGTTGGAACTGGCGGTGTGTGTGCAGCTTCGGGCTTCCCGGGCTGCGCTCGGTGGTTAGCGGGGCGTTGTTGCACTGCCTGCTGAGCGGCTCGCCTTCCCGCACTCCCGTTCTCTCCGCAGCCGTCAGCCGCGGAAGCGCCGCTCGCCGCGCCTCTCCACTCCCTCTTCCGCCGCCTTCGATGTGGAGAAGTGGGCCCGGGCAAGGTTTGGTGTAGAGCTCTTGGGGCGGGGGCTCAGGCGGCTGCAGGAGCGGGAAGGCCCGGGGAAGATGGAGGGGGGGTGAGTAGGCAGATCCGCGGATGAGGCCCCGGGCTCGTGAGAGGAGACGGTGGATCGGGCCAGAATGGGCCGCCTGGCGGCTGGGGCGCCTGCCCCGGGGGCGATGCCTCTGTTTTGGGGGGGGGTTAGCAGGGAAGCTGTGGAAAAGTTTGTCCTCGCCATATGACGGCAACTTTGTTGGCTCAGTGGAGCTCATCGCTGAGTTTTCGAAAATCTTCTCGCCAAGCTCCCATCGGCAGAGAATCCGCCTTCGGATTTGATCTGAAGCCGGGCTGATGGACCCATACAGGTTATGGCTGCCCACAAAGCCTCGGATCCGCTGTAGGTGCTTTGGGGTTCTGCAGTGAGCAGAGAGCAGCTGAATCACGGTGGGAGGAGGGCGCAGGGAGCGAAGAAGGCAAGCACTGAAACAGTAGTCGTAAACATTTAGGCAGCGTTAGCTGTAGGCACGCTCCCCCAGTGATTTGCAGATATTTTTATGATATTTGGACATGAATGTTTGTGTAATTAAGAGATTTTTAAAATTCGACTTAACGGCTATGGAGGGTTAGAGAACACTGGATTTGGAATCAGATCCTAGGTTCGAATCCAGACTCTCCCACTTAGTATTATAAGACCTTGGCCGAGTGTATTAACCGGTCTGTACCTGTTTCCTCACGTATAAAACAAAGAGGTTATATTATGAAATATCTAATCCATTGAAGCTGTAAAAGCTGTAAATTGAGAATTAGCCTAGTCAACTAGTTCTCTTCGTGCTATTTTTATTTCAGCTCCCAACTGTAAACATCTTCCACTTTTATGCTGTCTTATGTAAAGCAGAATACTGGGTACTGGAAAACTTTGCCTTAATGTTTCCAATATAACTTGGGTTCCAAAAATTAGCCGAGGTTTGGAGAGGTCTGTCACCATAGGATTGGGCACCAGGTTTGTGGAGGGTTTTTTTTGGTTTGGTTTGTTTCTTTGTTTTGTGACCCCAGTTCAAGCAGCATTTTGCATGAATGGAAGGAGTGAACAGAAAGAGCAAAAGTATTGAGATAAGGATAGCAATCACAGAGAAATTATTAAGAGGAAAAGGAAATTAAGAGATCATCTTATCTCAGCTTCCTCTATTTTTAGATGAGGAAACTGAGGCCCAGAGAGGTTATTAAATGATCTTAAGGTCACATAGGTAAGTGTCTATTTTTTGCAGAGTCACTGTGCTGAGTAATGACATAGATAATACCTAAGATGAGCATGAACAATTGATACAAGGTTAATATACAAAAGAAGTTCTGAGTGGTCCAGGACATTTGAAGGGAAGAATTTGCCTAATGATAGTCTTGTTTTTTTCAGAGGGCTTTTAGAAATGAAGAGGACTTTTGAAAGTGAATGTCAGAAGAGGAAAAAAAAAGCTCCAAGAGCAGTTTAAATGATTGAAAACTGACTGCTATTTGATTGGCTATAAAGAAAGGGCCTCATGGTAAAAAAATAAAATAGGCCTACAGCAGCAAAAGATAGCCACCTCTTCTAGAATAAACTTTATAGATCATAATATGCTATAGCAGAGAGCACTGGATTTGGAATAAAAAAAAGAACTGGGTTTAACTCTTGGCTTTGCCACTTACACTTACTACCTGTCTGCTTTTGGGCAAATCTCATAGCCTTTCTGTGCATCTGTTGCTCATTTTTAAAATAAAGGATTAGATGGCACTCCTGAAGTCCCTTCTAGCTTTAAAATCTCTGGTTCTCAGCTTCTGGTCTCTGGATTTATCTGGACTGCTGAAATTTCATTTGAATGTAGAAAGGTCCTTAAGGGTGTCAATGCTGTAATGACATTTAAATAATCAAAATTGTTATTCAAGAACCAAATACCATGATACCATGCAGAGGTTTTATTTCTCATTCAATTAAATATACTAGTGAAGACAAATCAGAACATTATAGCAGTCTGCACATTAGCTTTTGGTGAAATGAACAAAAAGCTTAGCTTGCCACTTAATAGCTAACATTCGTAAAACGCTTAAAGGTTTGCAAATAACTTTACATGTATTATTTAATCCTTACAACAACCCTGTGAGGGAGGTGTTGTTATTATCTCCATTTTGCAAGGTGAGAAAATAGGTTTAGATCTGCTCCAGTGTCACATAGCTAGTAACTCAGGTATTCCTGAGTCCCAAGTCTAGTGCTCTGTCCATTGTGCCCCGTTTGTCCTGAACTGGAACTTTTTAGGCTCGAGAGAGGTCATGTCTGAGTTTGATGCATTTCTTCCAAACTGTACACATCATGGAAATAGGAGATCTCGGAAATCTTTATTCTTGTATAAAATAATAGTGTATAGTCTACAAGATAACCATGCCAATTTTGGATGACTTCAGCGAAATAATTTAGATTGATGATTCTGAACTAGATTTATGCTAATCAGTTAACTTGTTATAGGTGTGTCTCTTCTTGGTGTGAACATTTTCTGATTTAAAAATTATTAAAAGCATAGTGGGGAGCATGGTCCCATTGCTAGTGTTTTCTGGGAACTAACCGGAAATTCAACTAATAAATGTAGAGTAAAGGTAGAATAGCCAACGTGGCAGATGACATAATGGCAGAGAAGTATGTTAAAAATATTTCTGTACTATATACATTCTCTGGAATTTGTTGGCCATGTTGCATTTTACTATTGTCTGGGGGGGGGGTGTGTGTTGTGTCTGTTTTTGAGTGCCTCAGCAAAATGCTGGGGGTTATTCAGAGTAAAGGATTCTATGCAACAGAATATCTCTTTCTAAGCATAGATGGGAGGCATATGTAAAAGCCACTTTAATTACTGTTATGTGTTATAATTCAGTTATTAACATTTTTGCTCATGTTCACAATATTGACAGTGAAAAAGGTGGTAACTGCCATTCTTTGGGGAAAATGTAGGAAATTCAAAAGTCTGTGCTTATGTAAGGTCTTTGGAATCACTTGTTGGGTAAGTTCCATAAGACCAGAAAGACCCTTCAGAATTCACATGTGTATGTGTGAAGTATTATGCCTATCATATCTTGAAAAAAGTCTGGGAAGATATAGCTGAAGTTGAACTCAAAGCAAAAAGAATAACTTCCTGGTACAGCTCCTTGTATTTGAATAAAAGAATGACAAAAAAAAAGTCAGTGATGCTAATTCATATGATGCAGCATTGATTCACTTGAACCCAATTTGAAAAGTGCAGACATATATTCAAGTACCTTGGAAAAACAGTCCCTGTGTGAAGGTGTAAAATTTAAGATGTTTATCACTGCGATATTAAGGAAATAAAACACTTTTGTGCTTAGATCAAACAGATGTAACCAAATCAAAATATTTTGCTGAAAAGTATAGCAAGCCATCATCTACGATATTATTAAGTTGTTCTTCATTAATAAGGAAGCAGTGTTATCAATTTCTTTGAGCCTGATGGTAATTAATTAGCTGTTCAGGAGAAATATTTTCATAACTGAAAAGAATAACTAGCATTTGCATAGCATTTTAAGCTTTGCAAATTGCTTTATGTAATAGTAGATTCTCATAGTAATACTGTGACATGTTATTAATTTATTTTATATATAGGGAAACTGAGGAGGCTGATTTGAGGATAAGTGACATGTCCAGAGTCACACAGTAAGTGTTTGAGGCTGGCATTCTCTTCTCTTCAATATCTAGCTGCCTTGCCAAAAAGTGAACTATGGATAGTATAAGAAGGAATGTTGATTGCCCTAATTCTTATGACCATAAATGATGAGAAACTTGATAACATCATTTGACACCAACAATGAGTGAGTTTTTCCAGGATTTTTGAGATTGCTGTTCTGTCACGGAGAGAACATATATAAATTTCCTCTTTTCATAGTAAGTTCTAAACCATCAACTCGTAGCACTAAATGTTAATTCATATACTCAGGGGAAAATAAGGTATTTTCATGTAAAGATACTTCATAGGCATATAAACCTGTTGCAAAGTAAGGTTTTGAGGTAGTTTTTAGTTGCATCTGATGAGGGTATTGGACTAGTTGACCTCTGTCCTGTCCGGTTCTAGATCTATAATGATAATGCTACATACTAGTTTACAAATAGAATTTTTTTTTATCTTTTCATTGGTACAGTACTCATTTTGGGATAATGTTATGAGGCTTCTTAAACTTGAGGCTAAGACTTATAGGTTCTCTAGCCTTTAACCTTGCTGTTCAAATAAAATGTGCTTGTGTGAGAAATACTCCTTGGGGCAGCTACTTGGAGTAGTGGATAGAGCACCAGCCCTGGAGTCAGGAAGACCTGAGTTTAAATGCTGCCTCAGATACTTGACACTAACCCTGTGACCCTGGGCAAGTCACTTAAGCCCATTGCCTAGCCAAAAAGAAAAAGAAATACCCCTTGTACATTTGTCAGTTCAGTGCTTCAGTTTGTCTTTTTGCTCCAGACTTTGTCAGGATAGAGAGCTGATTTGACAGCAGGTTGCAATAGCAGCAGTTCCTAAGTTTGTATGAAAGAAATTCCTGAAATTTTAAGGGGACAAGATGGCAGAGGGTTGATGATATAGATCAACCCTCTCTCCCCATCTAAAGACAAGGTAAATAAAATTTCCACTGTTCTTTGGATTTCTTGAATTGTTACCTTAATAAGATTGATGTTTTAGGGACAATGAAGAGTCTTCCTACCCATACTCACTTTCACGATATTGGTATTCTTTAATTTACATTGTAAGCTTCTCTGGTCAGGGAGTCTCATTTAGTTAATTGTGATTAAGAATATGATGCCTGGTATAGCACTAAGTATTGTGTTATCTCTTTTGAAAGATGAAAAGTCTCCAGTATAATAATAGCTAGCCTGTGTATTGTATATGTTTATCCCTAAATCATCTTTATACATTTTCCAAATATATTCTTAGACCTTGGGCTGAAAATTAAATTTGCTCTCTCAAATGTTGCTTACCTTTCGTGTCATGGCCAATAAATAAAGTACAGTTAATGGATCCCTTTCAACATTAATTCAGCTGCATTGGTGCTATATGTGTTCATGGTGCTATGAATTATAGGTCACAGGGATATCAACTTTCATTTCCAGGCACGGTGAAAGTAATTACATTTAATTTGTCCTGAATTTCTGTTCTGCAGCAATTTCTTTTACTAGGTGGAGCCCCCATGCAGCTTGTGTTATATAGTTAGCCAACTTGATTGTAAACAAAGACATGTAGAAATAAAAGTAAGGTGATAGAACCAGGCTAAATCTACAGTAATGGTCCATGACTGTTTTTGTTTTGTTTTGTTTTTTTGAGTATGTACTTTTTTGGAGTCAGATTTCTTTTCTACCTCTTAAGAATCTTTTTAAACTAATGAGAATATATACATTCCTGGTTTTACTTAGGGAAAGGCAGCATGTACTTTTGTACATTGATTCCTTTTATTGGGATCCTATTCTTAAGGAAAAACTTTTAGAATTCTTCATTTCAAAGGGGCTAAGGCCAGAGATTCAGATGTTAAAATTTTAAATTAAGATGTATTACATTCAGACCTTATCAGAGATTTTAAGAGGTGTGAAAGAAAAGTACTTTAAATGTTGTGAAATTTGAGTTTTCAAACTTGAATCCTTTATTATTTTAATAAATTCCCTTTGGTATTCTGTACCCACTCAATTTGGCAATTCACTCAAATCCTGAATAAAGTCAGCCAGACCATAACTTGTAAATTTTGCTTAAAATATTTCACAGATAAAACCCATAGGAGAGTTTTTATTTCACAAGTGACTAAAATGAAAATTCTGAGTAATTTTCCAGATGCAAGCCAGTCTTTTCTTTTTTTCAATTCTGAGCCCACTGTCCAACTACAGTCACTCAGGACTTGGGTTCAGATTCTGACTCTACCACTTATTGTTGCCCCTGACATAGGCACTCTGTAAATGAAGGCTGGTCAAAGATCGATGGCTTTCTAATTATATTTTTTTCTCTGCATAGCTGTAGTTGGGGAAAAAATAAGAAAGTTTCCTTTGAAAACATTTGGTTCTCTTACTCTATCCCTGATATATTAATATCTGATATGGACACATCCAAATTGTTAATACAAAGTGATGACTGAGAATGTAGTGTGGTATAGTGGACTTGGAGTCAGAAGACCCAGGCTCACATCCATACTTGTTCTTTGCTGTGTGACCTTGAATAAATGATTTCACCACTCTGAGCTTCAGTTTACTTATCTATAAAATGGGAATGTTACTGACAATACCTACCTAAATAATACCTAATCACAGATAAGTGAAAAACTTGAATGATGATGGCTATTAAAACACATGCTGAGATGAAATAATTTTTTACTGTGCTCACCTTGTCATAGCTAACAGACTGCCATGAATTAATATTGTCCGAGGAAGTCTGGAATGTTTTATCTCCACCCATAAAAGCAACTTTCTGGAGCCTAGCACAAAGAAGCTCTTGACCAGTAGGTCTTGTGGAAAATATTTTCATATTCTGTATTACAAAGGGAGTTTACATAGAAGAAAAAGGTAAGTTGTAAAGTTAGAGCTAACCAGGATATGAATGTGTGTTTCTTCTGTAGGCTAAGATGATTGATCTGATCTCTTTTTCTTACTCTCCTTTGACAAGTTCATTTATTCCCAAGGCTTCAACTACCACCTTTATGCAGATGACTCTCAAACCTTATCTCCAGGGCAGAGCTCCAGACAGTCATCTTCAGCTGCCCGCGAGACCTCTTCACCTGAATGTTCCTATGGCACCTCAGATTAATCATATCCAAAGCTAAGTTTAAGTGTTTTTTTTTCTTGTTTTAAACCTACTTTCCTTCAGATTTAACTGTTCCGGTGTCATCAGTGTCACTGGCATCACCATTCGTTCTGTCCCCTGAGTGTTAATAACTCAGTCCTTCACATTTCATTCAAATAGTCACCAAGTCTTGTTGATTCCGTTTCTACAACAGCTCTCATTCTGTCCCTCCTTTGATTTCCACTTATCCCACAATAATACAAACCCTAATTACCACTTACCTAACCTATTGAAATGACTTCTTTACCTGTGTCTCTTCATTTACTCTTCCCCTCTGCTGACCTATCCTTTACATCATCGCCAAGTCATCTCGTGCATAGATTTAATTGTGACATTACTTTTCTCAGAAATCTTCACTGGATCCCCATTTCCTGCCTGGTGAAGTTTTAAATTTTAGACTGGCATTCAAGACACTCTGTTATCTGTTTTATGCCCTCCTGCAATTCTAGGCTTCTAATTTTTTCCCTTTGCACACCCTTTGACACTAGCCAAACTGAGCTAATTGACTCCACAAACCTATGCTGTGTATACCTGGAATGTTCTTCCTTCGCTTTTAAAGCTGCTTAGATGCCACTTCCTACTTCCTTACGATTTTGGTAACAATCTTGCCCTGAAACAATGTAACACTTTGTTTTGTAACCCTAATGTATCTGTGGCTTTGTGTCAGACTTTCATTTTCCTAATAGTGAATTCTTGGGTGGCAGGGACAATATCTTAACTAAATTGTGTTACCCCTTGGTGTTTTGCATGCAGTAGACAATATTATATTATGTGGCTTACTAGACTGTAAGCTCCACGAGAGCAGGGATTATGTCTTGTCTAAACTTTGGGACTTCCACAATGACTAGTTTAATACTTTGCTCACAGTAGGCACTTAATAAATGTTTGTATGATTGAACTGAACTGCCTGCTGACCTTTTCCAGAATATATTTTCTGTCATTTATTTGACAATAATGAATTGCTTTTGGGATACTTTGTATGGAGCTATTTAATGTGGCCTTTGTTTTTTAAGTTTTATGTCACTAAACATTTTCTGCAACAGAGACCCTGTTTTTATAGTCATTCACCTGACAGAAAGGCACAAAAATACAGCATCCTGTTATATTTATTTGTTGGTGACAAAAAAGCATTTGACTTAGTATAACGAAATATAACTGCAAAAGTACCTTTCCTCTTGGCTGTATGTTACGATCAGTTTTTTTTTATAAAGCCACAGAGGTGATTGTGTTAATTGACCCTCTAGTGCAAGAGAAAATATAGCATTTGGAGAAAGGGGACCAACCCAGCTTCTAGCTGTGTGACCTTGGGCAAGTCACTTCACTTTATTGGAAATGTCTCCCCGTTTGTAAATTTCGGTGATTGGACTAAATAATCTCTAAATCTATGATCCTGTGATTGTTTTAGCTTTGTAGAGTCAATCTGTTAGCTTATTAATTCACATTAGAAAGATTGGATATAAGTTTTGATCCACAGATTAGGACTGCTGCTCTAGCAAACTAGGAATCAATCTGGCAATATGCTCGACATTTAAAATATATATATGTGTTGTACTGTTATCTTCTGTTTTCAGTATTATATGAGATACGTTTCCCAAGGTGGTACTCTCCTTATTCCTTCCCTGGGAACCTTCCTTTATAAGAAATAAAAATCACTTCAATAAAATTAACTAGCAAAAAAAAATGTGAAAAGGCATTTATTAAGCATATTTGATAAATACGTGCTGCAGGTACCTCGGGAAAAGTAAGACACCCCCTGCTCTTGAGCTCACATTCTACTGGAAGGAGACAACACACACAGTTCTCAGCTGTAAGTCCTATATGCCCTTGAGACCTGTGGGTGTGGGTGCTGTCATCTGACCTGTTGGTACATCCCCCAGGATGGGGCCTGCTATCTGCTCCTACTGTCAAATTCAAGTATTTGTTCTCCCCACCCACCCACTCCCAGTTAGATTTTGATCTTGAGATCAGGAATGGTTTTGTTTTCTCTCCTTGTATCTCCAGTACTTCTTGGCAATAGTAAATAATAAATTTTAATTTTGGTCATTAGTTCATTCTTTGGGGCCCAGGTTGTTCATTATAATCTCACTGGCTTCAGTTTTGTTGTTCTTTCAACTTACATTGTTGTAGTTATCGTGCATATTATTTTTCATGTTCTGCTTCACTTTACATCAGTTCATATGTATTTCTCTATGTCTATGTTCATATTCACTGTTTTATTACAGAAAAGTAATATTCCATCATATTTCACACAACACGGTTTGTTTTGCCATTCCCCAATCCATGGATTATCTACTTTGAAGTTTTAACAGATTGTAGCAATATACTTAATAAATATTTCTTGAAAGCATTTTATATGTTTGATATTCTACTTTTTGGTTCGTTCTTAAGTTCTGACTCTAGTGAGTGACTTAGAGCAATAAAGCCATCACATTAGATAAAGTTTTAGATTCAACCAAGGTTTCCAAAAAAAAAACTGAAATGGGTTTGGTATACATGCCAAGAGATTAATTCTGAAAGTGAGAACTCACTTTTTCCTAGATAATTCAGATTCAATGCCCTTCTAAACTAACTGATAACAGCTTTTGCTTGTAAATCTCAAATGATTAGGCTTGTGAAGTTCACACCTAAGATCATAATATAATACTATGGTACTACATGTGTGTGTTAAGGAGGTGAGATCTTGTGCAAAGTTGGTAAAATTAAAACATTTATCTAAAGCAGTTATAGTATGCTGGATCGTAGATTTAGAGTCCAAGGAGACCTTAGGAATCATAAATGACATTGTGACGTAAATGACATTATTGGTTAGTTTCCTTGTAAGGCTAAGTGATTTATTACAGTGATTGAATCTGATTAGGGCCCAGGAATATAAAGAAAATGAAATTTGCTAATTAATCATTATATGAAAGCATTAGACCTGCCTTTCTAGTGCAATGTTATTCGTTCGATCAGCTTATTGTCAGTTCATTCATTCTGTAAACAGGAGTGCTAAGCTAGGTGCTGAAGGAAGCAGAGTTCCTTCTTCAAGGCACATTTAGTTTACAACTACAAAAATGAAGGTTTCTAAGACAGGTACCAAGTGCTATGTACTGAGCAGGGAAAACACTTTTACGGGCTACTACAGAATCCCCCAATCCCCAGTATAAACTTATCCAAAAATAATTACCCTTACTTCCTAAGAACTTATTTAGCATTTCATATTTCCCTCAGAAGCATCGATTCTCACTTTGTTTTATAACTTGTGCTGAAATCTGTGGGGATACATAATCATTGTAGGCAAAATGGAGACATGGATTAGATAATAGTACAATTTGGTAGACTCAGAATGGGTTGAAATGAATGGTATCAAACTCAAAAAGATTGCTGCAGCCCCATATTTACTTAGAAAACCACAAATTAATATTATCTATGGAGTTTTATTTGTTTTGTTAAATATGTCCCAGCTACATTTTAATCTGGTTTGGTTGCACTTGGAATTTTACTGACTGCTTGCTACATTAGATGACTGTAACCAAAATTATTAATGTATTACCAGCGACATGGAGGGCTGTCTATAGTGAAGTGCCCTAGATAGTTATCCTTTGGTCTTCAGAATGTTCGTTAATCACTTGGATGATGCCATGCTTATTACTGTATTTGTAGTTGACACAATTTGGCTGAATAGCTAACCTGGCAAAGGTGAGATAGCAAAAGACCTTGACAAAAGAATGGGCTGAATCTAATCAAATGAAATTTAATAGCAAGAAGCGTGAGGTACATGTAGTGTCAAAGTCAACTGTACAACTGCAGGATAGTGAAGGCATGATTACAGAACTTAATGTAAAAAAAGAACTGGAGGGGGGGAGGGGGTATGAAAGGTAGGCTAGAAGCATTCCATAAATAAATCAACCTGTGAGATGGTAGTCAAGAGAACTAACATCAGAGTTAATCTGTTGTCTGCCCCAGTGAAGACATGTGCCTTTAAGGCACGTTTTATTAAGCATATTGATCTAGAGCAATAATATTAATCTCAAATAGAAACAGAGGCCACTGAACTCACATTAAAGATCCTTGCTTGCTGTATATTAGAAAACTACACATTAACATGTTTTCATTGTATTTGTTTTATTAAATATTTCCCAGTTACGTTTTAATCTGGTTCAGCCCAGAGTGATGAATTACATTTGATACCTCTTCTCTAGAGTGTATTTGATTCCTAAGAGGGCTGCTAGAATGGTGAGAAGTCTAGCGACTGGCTCCCTGATAATCAGTTGAAGACACTGAGAATTCTTGTTCTGAACTTGAGTACATAATGCCTGTTTCTCATTTTGCTTTAGATTTCAATGAAGGAAGGCTGTGCAGAGTCACCAGCCTCACTTTCTCCTCCGGAGCCATCTGGGTTCAGGGGCAAGATATAAATCAGGATGACTGCAGATGGCCCTGGATGAAGTGGGAGACTTTGGCCTTTTTTAAGTTAGGGGCTTTCCAAGTTCTCACTTTGAGGCAGCACCCATTCAGTGATTAAGGCTAGGTTAGAAATGAGCCAAGGGATGGCCTCTTTTACCTAACCCCCCCCCAAAAAAAAATCAGTCTGGGAGGGGAAGACCCTTAAGGTTTCTGGTCTAAACAGAAACAATTACTACCTACATTCACTGTGAGCCATCTGGACTCAAACAATGACCACTTAGCCAATCAATGAGAGCCAGAGTGAATTGGGTGTAAGGCTTGGTCTTTAAGAAAGAAATATAGCCCATAAACCCCGAGATACTTTGCTAGATTTTAGCCATCAAAATTTATATTCTTTGTGAAATTCCCTCTTTCCCCCCAGTCTTCGATTTCAAATGTGCATAACATCCTTCATTCTCTCTTTTGCTCTAGCTTCATTTAAGGCTCAGCTTGGATGCCAGCCCTGTGGGAGGCCTTGCCTCGTCTCTTTAGTTGTGTCTGTTCTCCCATCAAATTACCTTGCCGTTTATTTATGTTTGCATGTATGAACCAGTAAAATGAAAGCTTCCTGAATGAAGACAGGGACTTTTTCATTCTTTTCTTTGTATTCCTCTGCCTAGCCCAGTTCTATTCATTTAGTAGATGATTTAAAAATGTTGGATTGAAGGCATGGATGGCTCCTTTCAAGTATTTGAAGGATTGCCACGAGAAGGGACTAGGCTTGTTCTGCTTGGCTTCAGAGAGTAGAGCTTGAGCTGTGGGGAAAGTTGCAAAGAATTAGATTTCACCTTGATTTAAAGAAAAAATAAACAATCTTCATAACAATTATCTAAAAAATGAAATGGGTTATCTAGAAAGATAGTGGGTTCCCCATCACAGGAGGTCTTTAAGCTATACTTGTCAGTGCATTCCCAATCTGCTACAATGTAGAAGAGATGGTCCCATCCAGTTCTGAAGATTGTGATATATCAGGCTGTAGGACATGAGGAAAGTTGGAGAAATTGAAATTTGAGCTGCATCTTGAAGTGTGGCTAGGATTTTGGCAGGTGGAAAAAAGTACAAGGAGAGTATCCCAGATATAGGGAATAGTGGGAACAGAGGGAGAAAGGTGCAGGACATGTTGGAACAGTGAGAGTACAGTTTGGCAAGAGTGTGTGTATGTGAAGGATAATAGTGTGAGAAAAGACTATTCTAGGAAAGTATATGGGAGTCGAGTATGATGGGTCTTAAGTGCTAAACTAAGGAGATTGGATTTTATTTGACGTGTGTTCAAGCACAGTGGAAAGTAGAATATTAAAAATTTTTGAGGAATGGAGTGATAATTGGTGTGTTTTTTTAAAAACTTAACTTGGCAGTTGTGAAGGATGCATTAGAAAAGTTAGGCTATTGCAGAAGTACAGGCTAGGAGTATAGTAGTACAGGTAATAAGGGACTAGATTTTGTTCAACAAAGTAGAAATGATAAGGTAGGAACAAATTGCAGAGATGATTTGTAGTAAGATATTTAAGACTTGGCAACTAATTGGATACAGGGTGTTAGGGAAAGAGGAGTCAAAGATGTCTGAAGTTTCATGCGTATGTGATCAAGAGAATGACAGTGCCATCAGCACAACTGGGGAAGCTAAGATAAAGGAGCAGGTTTTGGAGGAAAGATGAGTATAATTTTGGACAAATTGAGGTGCTTTGTGGGACATTTGGGGGTGATTTTGGAAAGCCAAGTTGAATTCAAGTGAAACAGGTTGGGTAGGATATATTTCCCTATTTCCCTTAAGGGTAGTGCCTTCCCTTTTCTGATTATCTGCCAGTTTTTCTGTCTACATCTTACTTGTATGTAGTTGTTTGGGTGTTATCTCCCTCAATAGTTTGTGAGCATGGACTGTTTTTTTTTCCTTTTTTTTTAATCCCCTGCCTAGCACATAGTAGGTGCTTAGTAAATGTTTATTGACCCATAAATTTGGAAGTCATCTGCAGAGAGATCATAATTGAAATGATGGGAGTGATTAGAGATACAGGCACTGAGGGCAATGCTGTATTAAGATGTTAGAAGAAGAGGAATCTTAAGAGAAGGAACAGAGGGGTAGGAAAATAAAGAGCACAACGTATAAGAAGGCAAAATGGGAGAGGTTATCATGAGGGATTAATTTACCATGTCAGATGCTTCTGATGTCGAAGAGAATGAGAACTTTGAAGAGGTAATTGGAAATGGCATTGAGGTGGTGGGCTAGGAGAATGTGGAAGCATCAAGAGTAGAGTATTCTGGGGCAGCTAGGTGGCGCAGTGGAGAGAGCACCGGCCCTGAAGTCAGGAGGACTGAGTTCAATTCCGGCCTCAGACCAAACAGTTGATACTTACTAGCTGTGTGACCCTGGGCAAGTCACTTAACCCTAATTGCCTCACCAAAAAGCAAAAAAAAAAAACCAAACCCAAATTCGTATTCTTTAACTGTGTCACTCCTCTGTTCAAGAAATTCCAGTGACTCCCTATTGTCTCTAGGATAAAATGCAAAGTCTTCTGTTTAATCTTGCAAGCTATTCACATTTGGACCATAGCCTACCTTTCCAAGCTTTTATTGCTCATTACTTTCCCCCATGCTGGCATACTTGCTTTTCCCTAATGCTACATTCTGTCTTCCATCTCTGCCTTTGCACAGCTGTTCTCCCATGCCTGAAGTGCATTCCTTCCTCTGCCCTGCCTCTCAAAGCTCCATGAGGCCTTTCCTGATTCTCTGCAGCACACAGTAGTGGCTGGTGAGCTAGCTTTGAAGTCAGGAGGACATGGGTTTGAGGGGCACCTCTGATCCAACACTGCCTCTGTGTACTGGGCCGTTTAATGTCCCCACGTGGAAGACCAGAGGTATCTGAGGGCAATACCCCATGTGAGCCCAAACCAGATTCAAATATAACTGGGAAAATGTTTAACAAGC